CCCCCGCCACTGGCTTGGTTCGGAAGTATCTAAAGAAATAAATGGTGAGTTGTATAATAAAAAAATAGTCAAAATTTAACTCATATTTTCATAAATGTCAGATTTTGTAAAACTTTTAAAATAGCAAAAACTCACATAAACATACTCAAATACCCTATTAAAAAAAGGGAACGAAGCCTAAATTCATGATTCAAACAAAATTTTCACAATTTTGCACACTTGGAATTGAATTTTCCTTTGGCCTCAGAGATAGAGGGAGGAGATGTTCGGTTGTGTGGATCGATGAGATTTGGGGTTGAGCTTAAGAGTGACAGATCGTCATATTTGAATAGGTGGTAGTGTTGGCTATTTGCTGGGTTTGTAGGAAAGAGAGGGTGGATTGCAGTGGGTGGGTAAGAGAAGGGACCTTGAAAAGAGTTTTGAGTTGCAACTTTGCAGGGCATCCATTCCCTAAATTCACTATGTTCAATAGTTTTATTGAGAAACAGTGCAGAATAGTCATGATTTTTGTTCTATTTTTTGCAAATCAAATGATGGAAATCTATAAAGGGCTAGAGAATGTGATTATAAAAAATAAAAAAATCATTTTAAGGAAAAAAAAACCACCAAAAACACTTAGAACGGCAGTGTTTTGCTAGATTCATTCCGTCTTTATAATGTATCTGCGACAAAATCACTTGGTCGCTCAATTTCATGAAACATTTTTAAGCGAGAAAATTCTTTGGCGACGAAAGGTATTGTGATGAGCGACGATTTGTTTCGTCGCATGATTGTCTAGTGTTTCCTGCCTAGAATTTCATCTCCCACCCATTTACTTGGTGACCAAAATACTAAATAGTCGTTGATTCCTTAATATTGAAAGGAATCACAATTGGTCGTCAATACTTAGTGTTTCGTCACGAATCATCACCCTTGATCAAATTTGATCTTCTTAAATGTTAAAGGGAAAATGAGCGACCAACTTCTAAAATTCGGTTGCAAAATCATCCCATCAGCGACCCAAAATATGTCGTCTTTTTTACCTTTTGTCGCCAATTATGTTTTTTCTAGTAGTGCCACAACCGGCTCACCTTTATAAGGATCAAGAATATCAGCTTGGAAACAAGGGAGGAAACTCAGAGACAACTCATGTTCATGTGGTTCATGATCAGGCTCCGATGACATGGAAAAAAATTTCCTCTCACATGGTTCATCTTCATCAGGCTGCTCCGATGATGACGTGGAAAGAAATTTACTTCTTCTTCTTGTTGTACGCCCTCTATCCGAGATGATTATAGCACGTGCACGTGCACGTGCAATGATGGGGTTTTGGTTATCACTTTGGACTTGGAAATAGTGTCGAAAAAAATAAGGATCAAAGATGAGACTGAACCAACGTTTGGACACACACATGCATCGAGCCGCACACTTAGGAGGGAGTCGGGAAAGAATTTTTAGCAATACAAACTCAGGGAGATCATCAAGACTAATATTCATGGGCATGGCGAACTCTTTCGATATTGGTTTTTCGGGTGCCCACCTTTTTGATCTTTTTAATGGAGACTGATGATGATCGGAGGCTTCTCCAATAGGTTTGGATTGGGATATTCTACTGCTCCAACTCCTTTTGATAGCACGAGGTCTCATCATGGCGCCGATCGATCTGTGTGCAGTTTGATTGACTATTGCAATTTACAGAGAGGATTTGGGTCTTGAAATATATATAGCTACTTACCCTACTTTTAATCACTATATATAGGAACATATATATATATATATATATTTTTTGGGTCGAAAATAGGAAAAGATATCCATAAAAAAATAGGCAAGCAATCACTAATTATTAATTTATAAATTGGAAAGAAATCCCCATACAAATAGGAATTAATTTATAAAGGATATATATATATATAATTATATTTTTTCAGTAATGCTTCGGGCACCAACTCTTTTACTAACTTTTGATTACCAACTAATGTGGCATATGATATGGCAATACATGTAATTTGCCACATCATCTTTTTAATTACCCAAAATTTAAAGTTTTTAACTAAACTTTAAAAAAAAAAAAAAAAAAAAGATCCCTCTATCTCTATTATTGTTGAAAACACTAGATAACAACCTTGTGTAATATTAGAGGTTGCACACAGGGAGGAGAGAAAGAGAAAGAGAGAGTGGTAATAATATTCTTGGAGAAGTTAGAGGTTGGAGCTTGTGTTTTCTTAACTTGGAGTTAGCTTCGGAAACGAGGTAGGGGGTTTCTCAGGGGCCTTTACAAAGATTGATTTAATTAAATTTCGTGAACACTATATTATGCGTGATATGATTATTTGATTAATATTCTTGTTACAATTAAATGTTTTTCCTAGAATATTTATGTGTTCTTGACTGGTTGAATAATGTTGGCATAATTATATATATATATAATGTGTATACACATTATTGTGAGATATATATATATATATATATACACATTGGTGATGTTTTAAATGTTACATTGTTGTGAGATATATGGATATGTGAAATGCATAATTATATCATTTCATGGAAATTAGTTGGAGTTGTTGGGTGGAGAAAATAATTATGGAAATAGTATTTTGTGTATTTAAGTCTAACTCTTGGCAGGTACCAGGTCTCAAGAATCCCACAGTGCACATAGTTTTTATTGGGTGATTCGGGACTGGCGACAGGGAGTTAGACAAGATGACTAACAAAAGGGGAATTATGGGAGGAGTGAGATGGGTGTTAGTTCATATAAATGGGCATTCGGGACCAAGTGGTATAAGCATGGTATGGGACGTGCAGGTCTACTTGTTCAGTTATATGAATTAACGGGAGTAGATGAAGGGCATTCATGCATTATTATTATTAATGTGATATTTAGCAGTGTGATTGTATGTCACTTAATTTAGTTATATCAATCTACTGTGGTAAGGTTTCATCTCCTTACTGAGTGGTGGTTGCTTACCCCTCACCCTGTTTAATTTTTCAGATGAATTAATGGGCAAGACAAGGACTAAACCATTTTGAGGCTGAATTAGATGAGAGTGATAGAGCTTTATTTATTAATTATAAAGTTGTAAGATTTTGGAGCTATTTTTATAAGAGAAGTTTATTTTAAACCCTGTTTCGGCTTCTATTTATTCTATTTTACTTTCGACTCTGAGCAGTTAAGGGACGTTGCTTGATAACTTTAATCTTTTCAGTTGTCTCTTGAACCAAATTCGGTCCTAACAATACAGTTTCTCCTACCTCAGTCCAATACACAGGTGATCGACAAGGTCTTCCATATAAAGCTTCATAAGGTGCCATCCGAATGCTACATTGATAGCTGTTGTTATCAAATGATCTTCCCAACTTCCACCAAAATCTAGAATACATGCTCTCAACATGTCCTCTAAAATTTGAATAGTTCTCTCTGACTGTCCATCAGTTTAGGGATGAAAAGCAGTACTAAAATTTAGTTGCATACCCAATGCTTTTTGTAAACTTCCCCAAAATTTAGAAGTAAACTTAGAATCTCGATTAGATACAATCGAAATAGGAATCCCATGTAATCTTATTATCTCTCGAACAAAAAGCTTTCCAAGACTTTCAGTGGAATTCGTTGATTTTATTAGTAGGAAATGTGCAGATTTGGTCAAACGATCCACTATAACCTATACTGCATCACATGGGATTCCTATTTATCTTGTAGGGTCCAATTGGAAATCCCACTAATTAACAAATGAATATTAATTTGGCAAAGTAATAAGGCTTTTAGTGTCTGATTAATCAATAAGACATTCATTTGAAGCCCAATAGATGGAAAAAAAAATTAAAAAAAAATCAAAGAAGAAGATTAGAAGAAAGGATGTTATGGTTGAAGTGTGTGAAACAAGTGTGCGATCAACCTCCCTCATGCTATTGGAAAAACATGCTTTAAAAATGAAGATTTTGTTGTCTAGGTAGGAGGAGGGTCCTAGTTATCTTGTAACTTGGAATTTCTTTTGGTAGATTTGGGAAAATATATGGCTTGTTCTAATTTGTTGTAATAAGACGTAATATAATACAACTATTATTTTGAAAATGAAGTTTTTAGATGCCGTGCAAGGTTTTAATCTTGGTGCCTAAGTAATTTTTCTTCCATTCCAAGTCATTACAAGATGAGAATGGATATTATGAAGACACGTATTGGTGAGTTAATGACTCAACTATTTCTTTCATTAATATCCCAACAGCTTGCAAGTTTAAAAGATGACTAATCAAATTACAAATAGAAAAACCTTGCACAATTGACTTGCACGTCAAACTCAAAGCAAGGAAAAATTGCCACCTTCAATTAGCAATCTATGACCCACATCAAACACTAGTCTACACCATGAATTATGACGTTTTATAACACATTGTAAGACAATAATGATAATATATATATAGCTTATAATTACTTATAAATATATATAATAATGTTTATTCCTCTTTAATAATTTTTTTTTTAATTTTTTAAATACGGACTCTCACAGTGACAGACATTATTGCCCCAATAATTGCTGGAAATTGTGTGGTCATAAAAAATTCATGGGTGTGATTGAATGATCTATGGCCATTGGTGGAGTACAAATGATGAAAGTAACATATTTTTCCCTCTATGACGGCATTCAATTTTGAATGTAGAAAATTGGCTGCCACCCAATGAGGGGGTTAGAGAAAGAATGCTTCTTTTAGGCCAGGGAGGACAGGAAAGAAGCATCTCACTATACACTGAATACATCTCACTCCTAGTAGGCTGTAGCAAAACGCTCATCTTACCATGGTTTTTTCCGTGCTCGATCTTCTCTGCTTCTTCCTTTTCATGATTCTCCCATATTCCACCATAGCTCAACCATACGTAAACATATCTTTCGGCTCATCCCTCACTGCACGAAATGACCATAACTCATCGTGGCAATCACCATCTGGTGAATTTGCTTTTGGTTTTAAACAGATTGGAAAAGATGGGTTCTTACTGGCCATCTGGTTCAATAAGATACCAGAGAGAACTATTGTCTGGTCAGCCAATGGGAATAATCTTGTGCCACAAGGATCCCAAGTTGAACTTACAAGTGATGGCCAGTTTATGCTCAAAGATGCAACTGGCAAGGGAATATGGTCTGCTGATTCTCCTGGTACTGGATTTGCCTATGCAGCCATGCTAGACACTGGAAATTTCGTGCTGGCCAACCAAGATTCAAGCACGTTGTGGCAGAGTTTTGATCAACCAACTGATACAATCCTGCCAACACAGATTCTAAATCAAAACAGCAACCTCTATGCTCGCTACACGGCTACAAATTACTCAAGAGGTAGATTCCGGTTTAAACTACAATCTGATGGAAATCTCGGGCTTTACACTACAAATTTCCCACAACACTTTGCCAATTTCAATTCTGCTTATTGGTCAGTCAAAACTACAGATATTATATTTCAGGTCATCTTCAACCAGTCTGGCCTCATTTACCTTGCATCCGGGAATGGAAGCGTACTCAATATCATATCATCAAATGCAGTTTCAATACAAGATTTCTACCAGAGAGCAACATTAGAGTATGACGGAGTTTTGAGACACTGTTTTTATCCTAAAAGTACTAGCTCAAGTGCTGGAAGGTGGCCCATGGCTTGGTCTACTATCACTTTTCTACCTCCGAATATCTGCTCGTCAATTACGGAAGATATGGGCGGTGGTGCATGTGGATTCAACAGCTTATGTAGGCTTGAAAATGAAGGACGACCAATTTGCGATTGCCCTCATGGTTACACCTTTATTGATCCAAATGATGTGCGCAAAGGATGTAAACAAAAATTTGTTCCACAAAGTTGTGACCAGGCCTCACCCGAGCATCTTTTTGATTTTCAAGACATGCAAAACACAACACGGAAGCTTCTAAAGAAGCAGTATGGCTGAAGAGATTGGCAAAGGAATTCGGGATAGCTCAAGACTTGGTGGTGATACAAAGTGACAGTCAAAGTGCTATATACTTAGTGAAGAATCAAGCGTTCCATGGGAGGTCCAAACACATTGATGTGCGATACCACCGGATAAGAGATTGGGTGAACGATGGAGACGTCATGATAAAGAAGGTTCATACAACTGAAAATGCTTCGTGCAACAGTTTTTAAAGGAGTTTTAGCGTCTGATACTGGAAGGTGTGTTGCTATCAAACGTTTAGATGCTAAGGTCAGAGAAAATGATTTGGAATTCAAAGCTGAAGTGAGTGCTATCGGCAGAACAAATCACCGAAATTTAGTCCAGCTACTTGGATTTTGTAACGAGGGGGAGCACCGAATTCTTGTATATGAGTTTATGAGCAACGGCTCTCTAGCAAGCTTCCTCTTTGGAGAATCAATGCCAAATTGGTACCAGAGAAGGCAAATTGCCTTGGGAATTGCAAGAGGGCTTTTGTATTTGCATGAGGAGTGCAGCAGCCAAATTGTTCATTGTGACATCAAGCCTCAAAACATTCTTCTTGATGACTACTTCACAGCAAGAATTTCTGACTTCGGATTAGCGAAGCTTTTGAGATTGGACCAGACTCGAAGCATGACTGCTATCAGGGGAACCAGAGGGTATGTGGCCCCTGAATGGTTCAGAAGCTTACCTATCACAGTCAAGGTTGATGTTTACAGCTATGGCATTTTGTTGTTAGAGATTATTTTCTGCAGGAAGCATTTTGAAGCAGTGGCAGACAATGAAGATGAAATGATACTAGCTGATTGGGCATATGATTGCTATACGCAAAAGAAGCTGCACCGGCTCTTCGAGAATGATGATGAGGAAATCAATGACATCAACGAGATGGAGAAGTATGTGATGATTGCAATATGGTGCATTCAGGAGGATCCATCACTCAGACCCACCATGAAGAAAGTCACGCTGATGCTTGAAGGAACTGTTGAAGTCTCAGCTCCACCCTCCTCCTTCATAAATTCAATACTATAAATATATATAATTGTTGTTGTATCATTTCGTTTCGTTTGTCTCTGTTCTACTTTTTTCATCACTTTCCTTGTCATCCTAGTGAATAAGGTTTCATTAAGCTACTCAAAACTTGCTTTCTTGTCAATGTATAACTTTGAGCATATATAATATATAGGTTTTTTTATCATAAATAGTCCTTGACGTTTACGAAATTATCACGAATGGTCCTTGAGATTTTTTTGTGACACTAATAGTCCTTAACGTTTGGACTTTTTATCACAAATGGTCCTTGCCGTCAAAAATTCTGTTAAGTGTATGATGTGGAAGATAAGTGGAGCCCACATGTACAATCACATTGTGACATTTAGATTAAATAAATAAATAAATATTTTTTTTTATGAAAATCCATTAAAAAACCATTTAGAGAGTAGAGAGAGAGAGAGAGAGGCTAAATGGTTTTTTAATGGATTTTCATAAAAAAAATATATTTATTTATTTATTTAATCCACATGTCACGATGTGATTGGACATGTGGGCTCCACTTATCTTCCACATCATACACTTAACAGAATTTTTGACGGCAAGGACCATTTGTGATAAAAAGTCCAAACGTTAAGGACTATTAGTGTCACAAAAAAATCTCAAGGACCATTCGTGATAATTTCGTAAACGTCAAGGACTATTTATGATAAAAAAACCTATATATTATTATGGTCTTGTAGATTAGAAAGTTTTACCTATAGACACGTTGTGATTCCAATCATATTCTAAATTCTTCATGAGGAGTTGACAAGGCTACTAGCATGCCTTGTTGACACCTAACTACCCATTCAAGAATCATTTTACTAATGAATATACAAATAGAATAAGATATATATATAATAGAGTAAGATATATATATATGTTTAATCATCATTTAAGAAAAACGGACTCTCACATAAACGAACTTTAAAATTAACTGAGTACTCCTTATGATATAAGTACACCCTAATAATTAAATGAAAATGTAAAATTAACTAAGTACACCCTATTTAACCACTAAAAATACCCTTGATACACCCTAATACACTCTATTACACAACACCCTAATACTAAGTACACCCTATTTTACATGAATTGGTCTGCTTCATCAAATCTGTTCCTGTCAACTCCTTTTCCCTTCATCAAATCAAAACCCTCAGGGATTCACCCACTCATTGAACCAAATTCATGAGCTCTTCTAAGATCGTGTGAAATTATTCATATACAAAAACCCTCAGGGATTTTCCCACAATCCTTCAAGTTGAGATGCTTAGGTTTTTTAAAGCTCCACATTGTGAAGAAGGCCAAGTTCTTGGGATGCTGGATGTTTAGTGTTTTTTTTTTTTTTTCTTCTTTCTCTTGAAACTTTGAGAAACAGGGGATTTGTTATGTAATTTTTAACATATGATTGGACAACATTGTTAATGAAGAAGGAAAGGTGGGTTTTATTTACGAAAAGTATCATTTCAGTCCCATTAAAATGAAGCCGTTCTGGTCAATATGTTTGGCACAACTCTTCATCTCCATTAATCGTATGAACCATTTTACTGTCGCAAGCAAAGAAAAACAAAACGACTGTCTCCAAAGCAAAACAAAACGAAAAAACGACTGTGATAGAAAACGACTCTTCAATTTTTGGCAAGGGATTATGTTCGGCAGCTTCAATCTTTTCTCCTCTCAAAGCTTCTTCTTCATTAATGTCAGGAACTATTGGAGTGATAGAAAAAAAAAATTATTACACCCAACAAAAACTTCGAATTTTTATCTCAAATCTGTTTGGAATCAAACTCTGAAATTCTAATTTGATTAGGGTTCAATATGTTGAGTAGGGTGTACTTATTAAAGTCACTTTTGTTTCAATATTCAATATATCTTTTTTTGTCAATTTATATTAGGGTAAATTAGTAATTTAATAAATAGTTTGGTAGTAGGGTGTACTTAGTTAAATTTAGGGTTCGTTTAACAGCACCTTATGGTTAATGATATATTCCATTTGCAGAGAGCTCGGGATCTAGCAAATGTCACCTCATGTCGTGAATGGGTATTATTTGGGTACCTTGTTTGCTCTGGTAAACCTTACACTATACATAATTCTAATTATTCTTGCCAATTTTATATTGAATTTGAATGTAACAATCTTAAGTGGAAGAGAAGACATGCATATTTTGGCATTTGCTTTAGGAATTTGCTTTAGGTATATAGGTGTTTTTTGTTATATTATGTATTTGGAACTTTTTTCCTTATTTTTAGTTCTCTGTCGCGGCTTTCAGGTTGTATTGAAAGAAAATATGGTTCTTACACTGTTCAGGGATGAGGGGATTTGTGCTATCAGTTTTCTGTCGTTTCAAACTACTTTCATCATTTTCAGTAGCTAATTGTTGCAACTTAAACATGCGGTGTATATTTTTGCATGAGGATTATCAGCTATATGTCCTGCCACAAATTTTAGAATTAAAGAAGATGGCAAAGTCTGGTCATACGAAACAAAAAGAAGCAGATTTGGAGTATAGTGTAGCGAAGCAAGTTGAGAAAATGATAAGGTATGGACATAAATCGAAGTTTAAATATGAAAACCTGAACTTGGAACTTGCCAGAAATAAGAATTAGAGGCAAGGAACACATTTAATAGTTCTGTGCATAATTTTTTTTTTAATTTATAAAAACAAAAATAGAATCTAGTTGCCAGCTTAGGTAGTTGATAGATTCATATTTTGCATAACGAACCCTAAATTAACTGAGTACACCCTATGATCTAAGTACACCCTAATATTTTAATTAAAATGTAAAATTAACTAAGTACACCCTATAGAACTACCAAAAATACCCATGGTACACCCTAATACTTGTAGCATTATTTTATAGTTCATTTTCAGCTTGATTTTTTTAGTAGTTGTTCGTGCCAGTAGACTTCACACTTTTTTTCTTTGGAGGGTTTGAACTTTGATCAAGCTTATGTATTGTCTTGCTATCTGATTCCACAACTTTTTTTTTCCTAAATTGGCCACCCCTCTCACAACAAAATAGAATTCGACTGGTCTTGAATTTACCAGCTCCTCCAATATCAGACCTTTTAATGATAATCACAAAGCCATTCCTTTTCCCTTGTTCACGAGTCCATCTTATTAATGCATCACGACTAACAAATATCTGTAAAATCACTAATAATTAAATTAATTTATGCAATTATAAAATAAATATATAAATATTCATTAATTTACCTCATTTGTGATAAATTCGTTTCTGTAGTCTAAAACACATTGTTTATTGATGTCGGTGTCTTGCTTAGATACATCTTATGGATGCTGTAAAAAAAAACCCTCATATTTGTCATTTTTCAGTACACATGCTTTAGCCTAAACCAAAAAAAAAATAAAAAATTCAAAGTTAATACCTCTTTTGATGACTTCCTCGAAATGTATGAAGCATCCATTCCAAAATTTCAAAGTTAATACCTCTTTTGATGACTTCCTCGGAAAAAAAAAATCAAAGTTAATACCTCTTTTGCTGATGATCCTATTAATGTTGCTTTTATTTTGATATATGCTACATAAAACTGGAATAATATCTCTGCAATGTACTAATATGAGATCAATTCATTTGTGTCCTTCCAAAACTGTTTTCTAATGGCTTGTTCTAAGCCCCACATTGAGGTGGACGTGCACGAATAACAAGACTTTTTCTCCCCAAAGCTAGTGCTCTAAGGTGTACTTTTGGTTCACTAAAATTGATCAAGTTTCCTGTTTTTCACTTATAAGAACATAAGAGAAAAACAATAAGAAAGGTTCATGAGTGGCAAAAGAAAGTCACTGCAAACTTCATCAAATTGGCCCTAGTAGTACTAGTTAAGATATTTTTAATCATACACGCTCACAAGCCAGAAAAACTAAGTCCTAAAAGGGGGATGAAGATGGTGCCACCACAGTAGGGTCAAAGAGTTTTTCATTCATGTTGTTAGTGAACTAGGCAAAAATAATATGCATAAATTCTATTTTTACAATATATAAGTCAATTCACCATAATATTATTTTGACAACTTACTCGATTGAAATTATCGTGTCTCTCTTGTCAGGAATTCAATGATTAATCAGGCCTTCACATAATCTCCACCGCTGCGCTTCCTTTTGGACCGCGAGAAGAAGCAGATTTGAGCCCAAGTCTTCTTCTACTTAGAAGGTTGTGCTTTAACTTCTCTTTTCAAGCTCAGTCATGTATTGAACAACAACCTAAGATGCACCAAGAAAGTACAGTTAGCCTTGAGATAAAACCTGCAGGACCTATTGTAATGCCTCTATTCTTCTCTCTTCAAAAGTAATCTCTTGATTAGGGGTGAATACGGTTAGTAGGGTGTACTTATTAAAATTATATTTGTTTCACAATTCCATATATCCTTTTTGGTCATTTTATATTAGGGTAAATCAGTAATTCAATATATACTTTTGTAGTAGGGTGTACTTAGTTAATTTTAGGGTTCGTTTAGCAGCACTCATAATTTATCTCTATTTGCTTTGTTTTTACGTGAAATTGGTTAATTTAATGTGTTTAGTGTAGATTTTTGTAGGCATCCGTCTCTAGCAAGGCTTTGGAGCTAAAACTACGATTTTGGAAGCTTAAGGGATCGAAATTAGTGGAATTATCAACTCAACAAAATCTCAAGAAACCTTCTGAAAATAATTATCATGGTGGGACGAGGTAGATTACTTTTAGGATTAACTAGTCCACACAACAATAGTTCTGAATTGCTCCAAATAGACACTAGAAGGGTGTAAAAAACACGGGTTCTTTCCTTTGGCTGCTAAAGAAACGTACTTGGTACCTGGTACTTGGGATAGCTTTGAACCCTTCAAAGTTAGAAGAAGTTGACGATCAAACGCGGCCAAGACTTGAGCACCAAGTCAAAAACGACTGCAATAAACCATTCTCTGTTCATAACATCCCCAACACAAACCAAAAAATTAATATTGACGTCGTGTAAAAATGGTGTGGGCTGCTTGTCGTCACTTGCAAATATTGAAGGAGAGAGGAATCTGCTATTTGTGCTTCTCCGCCCGCAAGTGAGACCTTCCTTATGAAAGATAATTCCAATAAAAGGGTTGCGGCATTTGTAGATG